AAAAACTACCGTCATTTGCTTAGATGGAATTTATTGCTGTCTTGGTTGCATTTGATAACACTTCTTGGTTTAGCTTTTCCTTTCCAGAACGTTCTCCTGCAGCATGCTGATTTAGAGCACACACCCTTCCAGCACAGGCCGTTTGTGCCTCTTCATTTCTCTGGTACGGTCGTTCTTCCTGCTTTTCAAAAACTGCTCTAAGTTGCATACATTTAATATGCCTGTTTTTATTTTATTTTATTTTATTTCCAAGACAGGCTTTCTCTGTGTAACTGCCCTAGCTGTCCTGGAACTTGCTCTGTAGACCAGGCTGGCCTCAAACTCACAGAGATCCACCTGCCTCTGCCTCCCAAGTGCTGGGATTAAAGGCATGAGCCACCACCGCCCAGCCCATAATATGCCTTTTTTTTGTTTTGTTTTGATTTTGTTTTTTATTTTTTCGAGACAGAGTTTCTCGGGATAGCTTTGGTGTCTGCCCTGGAACTAGGCTAGCTCTTGTAGACCAGGTTGGCCTCAAACTCACAGAGATCCGTCTGCCTCTGTCTCCCAAGTGCTGAGATTAAAGGCATGTGCCACCACCACCCAGCAATACATTGGTTTTAAGAGATTAAAATGCTTTATTGGCAAAGTCACCTGCTAAGGGGTCATGTACTAATGTGGTGACTTTAGTAGAATATCAATGTGACTGGAAGAGCCAGCGCTCTGTCCAGGACTGACCCACCTCTGAAACGCACCGATCCCTGGATCAAAAGCACCAGCTGTGCAAAGCGCCACCTGCTAGCACTGCACATCTGGTTAAGGCAGAAAGAAAATGCAAGACTTTGTCCGAAGGGATGTTACATGACAGAATAGACAACTCTGAGTGAGGGCTTGATCTAAAAACACAGGATTAAATCTTAAGGAATAGCAAGACACGGATGGGTCCCTTATCTTCAAAGCAATGCTTGTCATTGGGATGACAATGGCTGTCTCCCACATAGACACTGGCAAACAAGGCTAACAGGGCTAAGTTTTTTCTCCTCTCACGCTCAAGTTGAAGGTTACCAGGGACTTGGGCAGAACCTAGTGGGCTGAAACCATTACTTGCAGGAAAAGCAGCTCTGGGCTACTGGTGTGAAAAACTGGTGAGGGCAGGGGGAAGTTAAATCTGAGAGGCTTATTAGGCAAGAGCCAGGTAGTTACTGTGGAGGTGGTCTTTCTAGGGCTTCTTCCATTAATCATCCACACAGGCAGGAATTGTTTCTCTTAAGTAGTTCCTGATACATTCAAACAGTTAATGAAACCCCATCTGTATAGGAGCTTCCACAGAGACGTGGAGGCTGAATTCATTAGTTTCAAATGTGAGGCTTTTTTTTTTCAGAGAAGGAGAAAACCCACAGTCTAAAGAAATGGCATTTGTAAGGTCCTGAAAAGACTCTACTATAAAATGGGAAGGGGAAAAAAAGGGACACCCCTCAGCAAACCCTACTTTCTTAAAAAAAAAAAAAAAGAAAGAAAAGAAAGAAAGAAAGAAAGACAGACTGTGGCAGAGCTTCTCTATGTAATTAAAAGCTCATTATGAAATTACGACTGCCACCTCCCCCAAAACTCAGCTAACAGGAAACTGAAAAGAATAATGATATTTTAGGTGAGATGCTTTAAGTGTATTTCTAAGTAGACAATACATTGAGTAGTGGGTTTTACCTACAAAAGATAAAAAATTTATGAATCATTCCAGGCTTTAAGGGTATGGGGGTGGTTATGACCAAGAAAACTAGTTTATAATGCAGAAATTATGTACATTGTCAAGTGTTTATATTTATCATAAGACTTAGAATGGAACCCAGATACAAAGTGTAACTTGATTTTTTTTAAAAAAAAAATGATGTTACTGGGGCTGTGAAGATGGCTTGGTGCTTGCTGCCAAACTTGAAGGCCTGAATTCAGATACAACCCCCTACCCTCACACTCTCTCACATACATGTACACAATGTAATATTATTTTTTAATAAAGAAAATGATCTCATTTCTTTCAAGACAGACTCCAGTCATCCCTTCCTCCCTTATTTAAAGTAACCTGCCTGAGAAAGGAAAGACGTGCCCACCTGACAGGCCTCTTTCCCAGAAAGGTTCTGTTGCCACCGTGACAGTCCTGGGGCCACCTCCCTCCTCTGGAGCTGACGCAGGGACACTAGCAGGTTGAATATCAAAGCGTACCACTGAGGCTTCCCACACGTGTGAACGTAACAGAACAAAGGAGAGACAGCAGGCCACCCTGGACGCTACTGAAGGTGAAAGGAGCTGGTAGGCAGTGGTCATTTGGTTAATGTTTCTGAGCTCTGCCTCTGAGTGGTCTGAAAAACTACCCCTTAGCAACTGTACCGGGAACAACCTTACTCAGACTCTGGGCGCTAGGTGCTCGAAGGGTTAGGCTAACCCTGCAGAAAGTGACCATCATGTACATCTGGAAAGAGGTGACAGCCATGCACGCTGTTACCGCTAATGAGCCAAACAGGGACACCTGGGGATGGGAAAAAATTAATTACAAGTATACGCCACCAGCAAACTACCTGTTAGTGTCTACCTGTGAGCATCTAAGACTAAATGGCGCCTAATTTCTCTCCTTTCCCTTTGATCACACAAGCGGCCCTGGGAAATTTCTGATGCCTTCTTTTCTTACAGCCCCCCCGCACCCTCCCTTCCCCAGTCCTTAATGGAGATCTTGAACCACAGAGCCACCGTGTCAGAACTCAGACGGTTAACATTCACTCCTTGCTGTTTTATTGCATATTACTGTGCGCGCCTGAGCAGCGGGAGCAGATTCGGGCAATTACAATCAAGTCAGGGCACACGCCGCGGCGGAGCAACACGAGCATGATGAGGATACTGATGAGGCACTTATCGAAAACCCCACATCATCCACACTCATCAGCCACAACATGTCACCCCAAATGAGGCATCAGCTGCCTTCAAAAGGCTCATTGCACCGTGTTTACCGCTTCCCTCGGACCCACTTTTGATTTTACGGTCAGAACTGGGTTCAAACAGCAGCTGTCTGGCAAGAGCGGGCCTGGGCTCCTCGCAGCTTCCCCAGAGTCGCCAGGCTTTGTCTAGGGAGCTTTGGGAAACAGAGGCTGGCGGGGCAAAGAGAGATGTGCGCGGGAAGGCGGCAAAGTGTCCAGTTCCGTTTCTCTCAAAGAGGAATCCCTTTCCTAGAAGGGGCCCTTGATTAATTTCAAGCACTAGCACACAGTGGTGGCCTAATGGGGGTGGGGGAGGGACACAAAACAAGGAGCCTTTCACAGATCCCCTTAAAATAGTGACGGGGTGGGACCTCTCACGCAGGCAGAAGTCCTAGAAAGGTCAATCCCATTGGAAAAGACAGATCTAACCAGGAGAGCCAGTCAAGTGGTAACAGTTCTTAATTCTTTCATCATCGACTCCTTCTCGGCCGGTTGGGGGGAGCATTCATTAGCAGCTTATAGGAAGGCGTTATTCTCAAATCCCTGGTTCCCTGCTACAGGCGGAAAAAGTGCTATTCGGAGCAATCCTGGAAACTGTTCTGTGTTGCCCCAGCCAATGCAACCAGCGGCTATATAGATGTGGTGGAGGGCGTGGGGGCATGGGCGGTATCTGACTGTATACATTGCAAAAGAGAATAGGAAAGCTATATTTCTTTCCTGCTAGGAGAGGCATGCAACTCTGATACTTTTCTTGCCTATAATTTTTTATGGATGGTGAGTTGATATTTGCTTTAAGAAAAATGTTCCTTCGTAAATATTCATCCTATGCAAAAATATTTTTCTTTTCACATCTAGGCAAGCTGATCCAATATCAATAAGAGGGACACGGACTCAAATGTTAAAGTTTGGGGAGCCATTTCAGCTCCCCATCCCTGGTTCTCTACCGAATGCCCTCCCAGCTGCCTAAAGCCCTGACTGTGTCCCAGCCAGTGGCAGTGGAATGTGGCAGCCAGCAGGCCTGGAAGAAAGGTGGACTTCCCTTCCCTCTCTGCATCCTGATCCTCACACTGTGGGCAGTCACACGCAGAGCAAGGGTTCTCAGCAGAGTGGGGAGATTAGCAGTTGTGGGAGACAGTGCAACCTGGGGAGTCACCTAGGACTTAGAAACAAACCTTGTCACTGGCCTTAGGAGGTCCCCTGGGTGCTGGATGTCAAGAGTTATTCCTTGTCATTTGAATTATAACCACTGCTACCCTGCTACCTTCTTCTTTCTCCATCTCTCTCTTCCCTCTCTCTTCCTCCTCATCCTTCCCCTCCTTCCCTCTCCCTATAGCAGTTGGCATTAGTTTTTTCCTGACATTTTGACATCTGTACAAAATAGAAGGAAAAGGGCTAAATGAGTAAGACCTTAGACTTGAAGACCCTTCTTTTTCTAAAAAAAAAAAAAAAAATTTACTTTTACAGAAAGTTCTTTCACCAAGCCTTGGGAGTTAACAGAGACTCCAGGCAGGCCCCTGCGAGACCTGCAGGGTGCCTCATTCTGTCTCAGAGGCTCTGCTGGCTTTCTTCCCATACAGTTTCCTTTCTCTTCTAAACTTTCTAAATCTCCTTTCAGGTCTTTGTCCTGACAATACTCTAGTTTGGCCCCTTCTACCTAAGCCCAGATAATTCCTGGAAGATCTTTCCAAAGCCCACAGGTTTGCATTGCACATTTGGATTCAAGAGAAATCCCCATGACATGGTCTAGAATGGAAAGCACAGACCTCAGAGTGGTACTCGGCTTCATCCTCACAGAACACGAGGCGAAAGGGGACAAACGTGTGCCTACATTTACTTTCGTTATTTTGGATTCCTTGGGGCTTCCAGGCCCTAAGACCTGGAATACATTAGGCTGGCGATCAGCGGATAATATACGAGCGAGGGAATGCAGAAGAGAAAATGGGTGGGCACCACAGGAGAGCAAAAGAACTTTGGAGGGTTCGATTAAAAATTAACTCGAGTCTCAGATTCATGCATTCCTGTCAGAGTTTGATTTATTTCATGAAGTGATATCTCATCAACATTTTACGTCATATTTTATTTTTCTTTTTGGGGTTCAGGAAGTGAATGATGTTGGTTTATAATACAGAGACAAAAGGAGTGGAGCTCAGTAGTAAATTCTGAAGAGGGAGCTAGAAAGTAGCAAGATGTGTTTCTATGGACTATAGCAACCTTAAAGGCACTGGCAGTACCTGCCTACATCACTAGTTCTAGGCAGTCACATACATTGCTCTGAGTTCTTTAGGAAATTTTAACATCTTAGGCATGGTATATATTTTAAATTTTTGAATGAGTCAGATACCTTCAACATACTGCTACTGATAGAAAGTGGACAGGAAAAAGTTGGTCAAATTAAAAGTTAGGATAACAAACTCTAGGCAATTAACCAAATTAAATGAAAAATTTAGACCTCATGGACAAGATGATTGATTAGTCATCTAATTTGAGGGTCTAGAAATCTAGAAAGGAAGAAAAGAATCAGTCACACCAGATCCTTGCTAGGTACTTCAAAGGAGATCCATGCAAGAAGGATACAGTTTGCATGTGTGCATATGCATGCAGCATGCTGAGAGAGAGAGAGAGAGAGAGAGAGAGAGAGAGAGAGAGAGAGAGAGGGAGAGAGAGAGAGAGAAAGAGAGAAGGTGTTTTGTGTCTCTTCGTGGGGTCATCATCTAACGCTCTTTGTGATGCACATTCTAAATTAGGCGAAAGGGATGCATCTTTCAAATGCAGATCATGTTTGCATTAGAAGAGCAATGAGAACACTTGTCAGTTTCAGAACATTTATGTGCTAGAAGTACTGTTAGCAGAAGAGCAGTTTAGATAAATTCGAGACTTTTTTTGCTGATCACAAACATTAAGCTTCACACCTGAAGCCCTCAACCCCCTGCTGCGCTCTAATCCTAGCACCATTCACCCTTAGAGACTCGGAGTGCTGTGCCTCGGCTCTCAAACCTTTGATTGCCCTTACTTTGAATGCCACCACCTGCAAAAATGCCTTTTTATTCCCTTTGAGCCTCTCGAGAAGGAAGTAAAAATGATAATTCATGACAAACATTAATTAATTGTTTACAAGATGATCTTTTCTTCTTCCAACTTCTGCTCAGCAGACATGGCGAACTGCAAGCTCCCACTCGCGACGCCAGAATCCGTCAAGAGGCCTGCATTGTTGTTTCTCACTGAGGCATAGGATCCGCCACAGGCCATTGTTTCTCCAGCTCAAGTGGGCCTGTCTGGTTCCTGTCGGAAGAAAGAGGGTGACATGCGTGAGTTCCATACTATAAAAGGACTGCTGGTTTGGGGAGAACGGGGGTTTAACGCTAATGCAGAGTAAATAAACATTTTTCACCATCTCTTTCTCCACGTGAGTCTTAAAGGTCAAGGGCTGCCATTACAGTGTTTTAAAAGCTTCAAATTACATTTAAAGAAGGTATCGCTAAACTCACAGGGCCTTATCAGAACGGAGGGGAGTCGGCCGTGATTGTTTGGTCCTCAAGTTGCTCATCACAGGAAGGTGGGTGGCGAGAGGAATGCAGATGCCCTGTTTGTCTGATGTCCTGCTCCGACGACGACTCTGTTCAAGACCTTCCAATTTTTCTTCCAAAACAGAGAAAGTGTCGAGATGCTTGAATTTCGAATTTTTCGACCATTGATATTGCTGGTCAAATATGTTGGACAGACAAGAATTAGGACACTGGGGGCCTTTCCTGAAAAAGTTCAGAGGCAAAGAAAGAGCCAGGTTCCTGCGAAACCCCCAGACGTATATTTGAGAGACGAGTCAAAAGGCAGAGGGAGATTTCTTTTTTAAATTAAAGAATAAAAAGCTTACTTCAAGGAAGTGTAGAGTCACCGCAGAACGACTTCCTCAGGCCCAGGTTTTCAGATTTCAAATTACGAGCCCTTAGATCAGGGCTGCTGGGCGAAAAAAATCAATTCTATATTTTCTGAGTTAATACTAAGGATTGCACTTAGCAGACACGGAGACTAATAAGGTATGCAGAGAGAGTATGGCAGTGCGCACACACAAATTCAGGCCTTGGTTTTGGCCATGATCCAGCACAATGATGTTTCAACCAGATTTGAAAAAAAAAATCAATAACATCTGTGGTATAATGGTTAATTAAAGCAGCCCTTCAGCAGAGCTCAGGAGGAGAGGCTCGGCCTGAAATTCAGACAGCTGAAGCCTGATTATCAGGAAAGAATGCTTTTTTAGCTGTGAGTGGATAGGCCAAAAGCTACAGTGTGCCGAAATGGGGGAGAGAAACTGCTTTTATTTTAACTTTCTTTAAGTAATCAATACCTTCTTTTCACCTGCATTAGGACGCTGCTCAGCCCCGGAGCCTGATACTCCACTTCAGCATAAATTCCAGCTACTGTCTTTTGAACCTGGGGTTTCAGAGAAGTCCCCCATCCCCTCTAAAGCCAAAGAAAATAATATGCAGGTTTGGGCCTGTGTTCTTGAAACCAGTTAAAGCTCGGGCTTTGGGAAGGTCTGAAGGGTTTAATCTGTAAGCTGCACTCAAAGCTGACCTGACCTTGGGGCAAACAGAGGTCACAGCCAAAGCACTAAGCTCCCCCCAAAATCTACTACATAACCTTAAGGAAGCCAGGCTAGCCAGGCTCAATCTGCCCCTCTTTCTGTCTTCCTATTTTAAGTGTTATCCTGGAGATGTTTTCCTTTACCGTTCCAAGGACTAGGGTCGAAGAATCAGCAAGGCCTACTCTACCCTTGGAGGACAAGGTCAGCAGATGGCTCCTCTAAAGAAAGACTTGGCAACACCCTTGACAGCTTTCTGGGCACCTTGCACTGCCTTCCCGGTCCCCTATCGTTCCCAGTTAGCCGCATCCGCACCTGTATACCATCACAGTATACCATCCTGGCCAGTCTCGAGAATTGCAAAACCGTGTTGTCATCTCCGGGTCACACTTTGCTGCAAGAATACTGTATGCCATGTGTAGGGTCTTTTTTTCCGTTCAGCACCATCTTCTTCCGCTCGGCTCCTGCCAAGGAAGCTTGTCGTTTATCTAAGGCCGTGTGCTTATGGATAACTGATAGACCACACAGTGGGACATATCTTCAAAGGAGTGGTGCGCGGGACAGTTTAGGATTTTGGAGCTCAGGAAGGGCAGACTGAGGGGTGGAACTTTAAGGAGCAGTGTCACTGGAGTAGGCGGTTGGAGGCTGAGACGAGAGAGGGTGGTAAATAGGACCTTTACAATCCCTAAAGAGTTGTATGAACTACGTGGACTCTTTCTCAGAAGCATGCGCACTGAAGAGCGGATGCCAATGATCTGGAAAACCTTCAGAGCTAAGCTTTGCATCTTAGTTCATCTTCCCCATTTAAGGGCTATCAGGACCAGAGATAGAATGTCTTGTTGGACCTGACCTAGTGGTGCATTCGTGTGAGCCAAGCTACTCAAGAGGCCGAGGCAAGAAAATCAAAACATTAAGACCTGCCTGGGCTACAGAGTGAGTTCAAGGCCAACCTGTGTAGAGAGAGCCAGTCTCTGAACTTTAAAAACAAAGTCGAGAGAGGGAGGAGGAGACAGCTCTGGAGAAGAGCTCTTGCCTAGCGCCCACAGGATCCAGGGTTAATCCTTAATACTGCTAAATAAATAACTAGTAAAACAAACTCCCTTCTTTATCTCTAACACACTAGTTCTTTCTTTCATCTGATCCACATTGGAATTCATTGTAGTTTCTCAAAGTTTAATGCAGCTCTTGGCTTTTTCCTCTCTATTTTCTATTTTCATCCAATTAGTTTTCTTTTCAACTTTCTCCAGATAGTTTTTTGGGATTCCTTTCCTTCCTCTACAATTTTCAAACTCTGAATTTAAAGACACCAAGAAGCTGGCCTGCCAATGTACTATGCATTGCATTACATTAACTCTGAAGTACACTTTAGAACTAACACTTGAAATGTTGGTCTTCCATTTACTGGGCGATTTTGCATGAATAATATGAACTCTCTGGGTTTCAGTCCCACATCCGAAAAAGGGGCATAATGCAGCAACTACCTCATCGGGGGGTAATGTTGTCCCATGCTTTGATCTTGTAAAGTGTTGAGAACTGTACCTAGCAATGAAGAACCACTAAGTCAGTGTTCAGTCACAATTATCACAATTTACTTACCATGTGATTCTCTGATCTCATTTACTTTTTATTATACACTTGCTAGTTATTTTTACTGTTCAAATACAAACAATGCAGCTATGGAGCTCAACCTTTCCGTGTCTCCAGATGGATGAATTTTCAACTACTACTTTGAATTTGATTTTCTTTCTTTAAATGCTTTAAATAACTCATCCTTTGAGTCAGCTAATTACTTATCTTTTTCACTTCTTAAAAGATTTATTTATTTTTATTTTATGTGTCTGGAAGTTTCATCTGTCTGTATGTCTGTGCACCACATGCAGGCCTGATCCTTTGGAGGCCAGAAGAAGCTTTGGATCCCCTGGAGCTTGAGCTTCAGATGGCTATGAACCACCATGTGGGTGCTGGGAATTGAGCCCAGGTCCTCTGCAAGATCAGCAAGTGCTCTTAATGGCTGAGCCATCTCTGCAGTCCCTATATTTCTGATTTCATTACGTGTCGTGGGATATTTGTACACTCTGTGAAAATGCATTGCTGTGATTTGTGTAATCAAAAGCAGAACAACCAATAGCTCAGCAGGAGGTATAGGCAAGTTTTCTGGGGACAGAAATGGAGAGGCATTTAGGAAACATCGAAAGGAAGCAGAAGGTGCAAGATGGAAGAGAGGTAATACCACGTGGTGGAATGTAGATTAATATAAGTGGATTAATTTAAGTTATAAGAGCTAGTTAGGAACAAGCCTCAGCTATAGGTCAAGCTTTCATTATTAATAAGATGTCTCCGTGTCATTATTTGGCAGCTGGTGTTATGGAGAAAGACTCCTCACAGTTTTCCATATTTAAAAATGATTTTTAAATTTTATTGTCGTATTTTTTTCTTAGGAAAGGAATGGCATTTGGCTTTACATTTCTTGTGCAGTTTCTATGATCTTGAATCTTGAGACCATGTCCATCCATTTGTTCTTGCATTTGTCTTCCTTATTTGGCCTATGGGCTATTCCTTAGAAGTAGTATAATTACATTAATATAATACAAGTAATATAATACATTTTTGCAGCTATTTGGTTTGGGCCACATCTTTAATTCTTTTTGAAATGAGCAATTAAATAAAAATTTAAATGTGGGTTTTTAAGCAATTATCAATTTAGGCACCATGCTAGCTACTGGGCGTACCAAGGTATGAAGTGTTTCAGCTACTATTAACAGAAACCACTATTTGGCTTAAACGCACTAAGATGCACCCTCTCCCCAAAATAAGATCACAGTTAGGCAGTTTAGGGTGTGAGGTTCTAAAAACCTACCAGGAATCCCAGAGCTCCTCTTTCTCTTCTATCTTGACTTTACCCTCCCCACGACATCTCATGGTATAAGATTGTTAATGAAATATTAGTTACTACATCTTTATCCAAGACAGCAGATTGAAAGATGGATGTAAAGGAAGAAGAAGGAAAGACCTTTTCTTTAACGAGTCCTCCCAAAATTCTTATTTATCTATCCTGATTTTCTAGCACTTTGTCACACAGCTTAGTCACTTAAAAAAAACCTGGGAAATAAAGATTTTTTTTTTCTGGAATCATTCATTGAATAGAAAAAAAAAGTCAGAATTCTAGGTCCAAGAAGAAGTGGGGAACACACATTAGTGTCTGACTAGTGAGCTCTGGCAGAGAAGCTCAGAGTTAGGGGCAATGATGGACAGGTAAAGGAACAATGGCTGCCCTGCAGTGAAGTGAGTACTGGTGAGTTTAATGTGAAGTCACACGTTGGACCCCGTCTGCTACAGAGGTTTCCTTGCTCCTTTCTACTTTCCACTTCCACCCATCTACCATGTCCCAGGCACTCCCAAGGTGAATCTCTCCCAGAAGGACCTCCCCAGATTTGCCAGGCTTTGTGCTTGTCTCAAGGGCAAGTCAGGAAGTCCCTGAGGGCAGCAGTGGGATTTGGTTATCTTTAAAAAGAATGTGCTTGGCTTGGGAAGTCATCAGGGGTTGCTGGTAGGGGGACTTACATTTGAAAACCCGATTTTCAAAGACCATTAAACAATTCCAGCTTCATACCACTGAAGGATGTTTACCTCCTCCTCTATGTCCACCCATAAAGAATAGCTTCTCCAAAGTTCTCATGTTATTCTCTCAATGGCGTTTAACTCTGGACAAATCGTTTAACTTCTCTGGTCAGTGTTCCTATTTTGTTTCCTTTTATAATGCTCCTATTCTGAGAATTCTGAGTATGAACAAATGGGAATGTGTTTTAAAGAGAACATTAATTTAGTTTTCTCCTAAAGTCCTTTTAAGTCATAATCATTGTGGGATTTTTATATGTGAAGGAAAAATGAGAAAAATGTATGATGTGAATTTTTGAACACGCTAGTGAAGACCCAATTAAGATGGAAAATACTTTGGAAACTATAGCAAATCTGTGTTTTCGCTTATACACATTTATGTAAACAGAAAGGCATGTATGTTTGCTAATATATTTTCATTAGGATTGCTGAAGGGGGAGACAGCTTCTGTTTTTACAGTTAGGAAAGAAATGCATTCACATATGAAATCACAGGAGACATTTTCATTGGGAAATATGAAGACAGATGTAGTAAAGTGTGTATCTCAAGCAGACAGGCAGCTCATAAATGTTAGGAAGCATGTTAGCTGAAACGTCTCGTAACAGATATGTTGAGAAATAATCCAGTCACCCAACAGAGGTAATCTGTAAGAAATAATGGGGAAATAGTAGGAAAGAGTACTGAGCCAGAACGAATTGAATACCGCAGAGGTGAGGGTGACCCTGCCACGAAAGACTGATGCTTACATATTCAAAACCTGCAGGTCAAACAAATTTTGCCACTACACTGAGTTCGTTTCTAAATTAAACTAATTTAATTTTTATTTTTTATATTCATTTTACTTAAGAAAATACAACAATAGACTCCTGGCCAGT